GTACAGCAGATTTTCAAGCTGCAAAGGTCTGGGGGACCGCTAGATGGTTATAAAGAGATACAGAAAAAAATTCTTGACCCTTTGCTGCCATCAACTGATTTCTGGGAGGGAAGAGTCAGGTTCTTTAAATACCCACCCCACAAAAGAAAATGTGCCTTGTGGGCTGGCAGCATTCCCCTTCCTGTCCCTGAGAAAAAAGGACTCTGGTTTCTGTATGAAAGACAGACAGACATAACCCTCCCGAGAAACACAGTCACTCCTTGCTGGCTGCCATCCATGCCAAATTCACATTGCGTTTATCCTCAGTACTGCTCTCTAGCACACATAACAAGTTAGAGTTACAGATGTATCCTGCTCAGCCAATAATCCTTTGACACTTAAAGTGCTACAGAAAATCTGCCATGCCCCTTCAGACCAACTGCAAATGTTTTGCAGCAGAAGACACCACCACCTGCATCACAGAAATGTCAGGTTGGAAGGGTCTTTGGAAGTCATCTAGTCTAGCACCCTCTGAGGCCTCGCATCCCCAACAGAAGGCCATCCAGCCTCTGTTTAAACCCTTCTGTGCAATCAACAGTGCACAAGAGGACAAACACATGCGTACGTTTAGCTGGCTAATCACAATAGGACGCTTTCTGCATAAAGAAAAGGGAAGAAGAGAATTCACAATGCAGAGGGCACAAGGATGGATGTACAGCGACAAAGACACCAAAGTCAAAATCTCCAAGAGCTAACCAACCAAGTTGACTCTGATTTTTGAACACACTCAGAGTTAAAAAAAAAAAAAAAAATCCAAAGACAGAGTCAAACCAAAGTAAACCATTTGCATGGAACTTTCAGAGAAAAAAAAGATGACAAAACTACATGGATGATAACTCACTGAGTTTAGCTGTCTCTGTGCACTGTACATGCTCTTTTGTCTTGTTTATCGTGGAGCTATCAGAGTGCCTTGACAATCACAATTACAATCACTGATTTCATATAGGAAGACTTCCTGAATCTCCGTCAAGGGGAACATCCTGGGGGATCTGGTGTTGGGACAGATGAAGCTCAGCATGGCTCTAGTGTAGCATCTGCCTCTTCTTCAAATTCCTTCAACCTCAGTCCCTAGGTTGCTAATGGAGGGAAATGGGCTGGCTGCTCAAAACATCAACATCATCCCTTCTTCTGCCTTTTGTAGGGGAAGAGTTCCTCCTCTAGCAACCTTCCCCAGTCTTGCTCATCACAGTGTCAACTGGAAACCCAACTGCTGGTTCAGCAGGCATAGGACCAAAATCTAGCCACCTCGCTGGCTTTTGCCCTCCCACTCTTTTGACCAACAAATCTTGGCCTGGCTCACCTTCTAACTGGCCTTTCTTTCCTGTCCATGGCTTGTTCAGTGGGGTTTTAACGGGATATTTCTTCTCTTCCTGGACATATTATTCTAGACTAAATTGGCTCATTCATTTTGTACAATATTTAAAAGTAAAAAATTCTCATCATGACGGGCATTTTTTTTCTATTCTTTCATTTCTTTCCTGAGGCCTGGCTATAAAGTAATAACCTCATGAAAATTTGTCTTACAAATTAACCTCGCATCTTCATATTCAGTTTTAACCCAGAAAAAATATTAAGAGCTTTCAGGCCAGTATATAGTGAGCATACTTGCTGCTCTGTACCAAGTCTTTGAATTTAGACATAAAATGTTTGGTTTTTGCTTTGGCCAGTACATATTGAAGAAACTGTTGTGTCAATACCCATACAGGAGACTGCCCTGAAAATAAATCATATTTATGAGGTAGCTTTAGCTGAAAACTATTGTAAATATATGCAGAAGGACCAAGGTATATTATGAGAAGAAGTCCAGTTAAGAATTGTTCTCCTAAATTCTTATACAGCCATTATAAAGATCATTTTAGTAAATATATGAGTTTGTACTCAACTCCATATTTTAAATGAATTCAGATTGAATAACTCCTTGAAAGATTATATGATTAATTTCATTAATTTCTCAATCTCAGACTTACTGGTATGAGATAATAATTTGCCATCTTAATTTGATAGAAACCTTGGTCTAAACTTCATAAAGTAATATTCTGTTTCATCTCTTCCTCCTTATAATTAGTTCTCTTTAGCCATTGTCATGTAGATCTCATCTTTACGAAGGCCACTTTTCAGAATATTTAATATACAACTTTTAACTTATTTCATTAAAAACCTATTCACACATCTAAATCCCATGTATTATTTTATATTTAACATTTTGGGCTTTCAATATTTTACTTTATTATATGAAACTAATTGTCAGAATAAAAAGAATACCCAGAACAGTATTAACAATATAATACAACTTCAACATTCATTATCATCATAGAAGAAGAAGAGGAGGAGGAGGAGGAGGAAAGAAAAAAGGCCTGGAAAATTATATTTTAACCAATATGAGCAAACCAACTCCCCCCAAAATGGACCATATTGTGAATCTACAACAGTGTGATTTTGTTTCTTTTCTCTTTTAATACCTCTATTTCTTTGGCCATGAAAGACACACCTGTTATACAGTAGGCAGGCAGGCAGGCAGGCTATCATCTGTGTGGTTTCAGATATGATCTGGATCATTTTTGCTTATTCATGTACTGTTATAAGTGCTTAATATCAATCCTACCTCAGCAAGAAATACCTTTCATAATTGAATAATTACCACATTAACATGGGATTTAAAGAACAGTTTGATATCGATGTTGCATTTTGTTTATTATCCAATAAAGCATTACCATCATGCTTTCAGTGGGGTGCTAAATTAGGAAATAATGCCTAGGGACATTTGCTTAGGGATTTGAATTTTATAACCCAGAAGAATTAGGAAATCATCATGCCATCTTTCTTGGAGACAAATCCACTTTTTGCAATGGTCAGAATCACTACTTGAAAGTAATAGAAACAGGATTTAGAAGGGGCAGGAATGTTCTGTACCCAACCATATCTCTGTGTGATATCTTCTGTTGCCCAATGTCAAAGAATAGAGAAGTCTAAACTCTTGGAAAACCGCATGGCTATCTTATGCAGTAACTAGATGTGGAAAGACCACAATATTTTTCTCCAAGGCTCTGTCTGGACATGTAATTGTAACCAAGGTTGAGGGATCATGAGCCATCTGCTGACTACAGAAGTTTTGGAGCAACCCTCAGTCCTTTCAATCAAGACTGGTTACTATAATAATAGT